AATATATACAAATCCACATCTCTCGGAACAAGAAAAAGTTCTTGAAAAACTTCACCACCAGGTTGAAAAAGAATCTCGTTTCGTCGTAGAGTGCGCCGCTAACTCTTTCCGGGGAAAACTCGTGTTTCGCAAGAAGTAAAAATGCTGATGGAACAGTTGACATAGCCGCGAACGGAGAAACGAGTCGACGAGTGGAAGAGAAATTGTGTCGCTGGCCAGTGAAACGGCACTGCGAACATGGTCAATAATAAATCCGCGGTCTCATTGGCAGGGGGAATTCGCTGGTGAAAAGCGAACACTCATTAAATTTCCAGCTAGACGGTCGCTGGTTCATTGAAATAATTCTATGGTGTATCGCGCAAAGGTCCACAACGCTCGAAGGAGATTGAACGACTTTGTCTGGAGGAAGAAAGAAAGAAAGAAAGAAAGGAAGGAAGGGTGAAGGGGGGCGAGAAAAGGGTGCGCTAAGAACACGCGCTAGATCGAAATGTGATTAAACTCTGTTGCGAGCTCAGCTTCTCTGGTCTTTTCCCCGTTTTCTCCACCGTGGACATTGTATCCGCGACCCGGTAGGCTTTGCCGAGGTCCCACCGCTTTATCAGTCACGGCCTCCTCCCTTCTGTTGTTGGATCTCCTCGGTGAAAATAGGACACCGAGACGAGAAATATAGAGTATGTAGTCATGGTGAAACTGCGACTGTCTCGAAAGATGAAACTCCAGCGGAATAGGCTTCCTTTTCTTACTTTTTTTTGCTCTTTGTTATAAATGTAGCTTGTGCATACATAAAAGACGTTAGAAACAAGGTACGAAAGTTTCAATACTAACCGTACCAATTTTAACGACTGGCTTTCAAAGTTTAATTAAAAATTGTACATTTATTTGTCACTGCTTTTGTTCATCTAACTTTATGTAAATTCTTAGATTATCTGATTAATTTTTGTTTCTTTTTTTTGTTTTTTCTTTGACTTCTTTTTTCACTGATGAAAAATTCATCGCCCGACCGGTGGACAAATTTATATCTTTTTCTAATTTACGCAGTACAATTGATGGCGTTTAGACGTTTGTGTTCCTTAATCAGGACCTGCAAATGATGCAAGCGACGCAGCGTGAGCAATAGGGATCGGGATCTGTACGTTCAGCGTACTATAGCGATTCATGAATATGCATCTGTTTTCACGTTTCATCGGGTGTGCACGTGCGAAAACCAGTCGGCGCACATGTTACGCTTGATCCTAATTTAGCATTTGATCTCGTACGTCTTCATATTTCTTTCTCGTGGTACGTACGTTCTTACGTATGCACGTTGTAGCAAAGCTATCGATTATAAACTCGGTACGATACGAGAGGCCTTCGCTTTCCTTGAGTAGTAGTTAGTCATCTCGTTATCGCCCTCTTATCGTATTCAGTATCTGCGTGCATACAGATAATCGCAAACTCGAGTGTTGTTCGTTGTGGTTTGTGGAACAATGTGTCTGCGATAGAGAATCGAGAAGGTTGGCAAATTCTTCGTAGTGGGAAGCTTGCTGGGTCGATCAAAATGGTTGTCGGGTTCGTTTTCAGAAGACGTAAGTTTTGAATATTTCTCTTTCTGTTCTCTGTTCTGAATTTACGCGCGAAGCGTGTAAGTAGAGAAGAATTGCATTTTAATGAGATTGTTGCGTTTTAAAGGTGTAGACGTTGTAGAAGCAACGTAGCATGTTTTGCTGGAGAACTGATGCACGTTTTTTCATTTGATTTTGTTGCCAAATGCGAAGTCATAAAAATGATGATTGAGATTACGGTGATATTTAAATTTCCAAAACTTATTTAAGAATCGAACATTGTTTTTTATCGAGTAAAATTATTCACTAAATATTTTTTATCGCGTCTACTAAAATTGGAAAATTATTATTAAACAATCATTGTGTCATCTTATTA